CATAAAGGTGGGTTATCGCAGCACTATGTGTCTACACGTCCATAAAGACGTTGAGATGGACACTGAACCTGGGGGCACACACCTGTCCTTTAAGCACTTGGACGGAAAATGATCAGGAGTTTAAGGCCAGTCTCAGAAACAAGATAAGCCTTGGCTGCACAAGACTCTATCTCAAAAACAGACAAAACATACCGAGATGTCATCAGTAAATGAAGAGCGTCCCTTTTGTAGACCTACGCTAGCGAAACACAGAATTTGCCAGATTGAGGTGTTGAGATGGCTCAGCAGGTAAAGGCACTTGCTGGCAAACCTGGTGATCTGCATTTGGTCCTCAGTGTACGTAGAGGTCAGAACAGCTTTCTGGAGTCCTTTTTCCTCTTCCCACTGACTGAGCCATGTCATACAGCATCACCTGCCAAATAAATAAATGTAATAACAAAATTTTTTAAAGAGAGGATTTTACCTGTCTGGCCTGGAGCACATTGTGCGGACCAGGTTGTCCTTACACACAGAGATTTGCCTTCCTCTGCTTTCTGACTGCTGGAATTAAAAGTATGCAGCACCATGTATGAAATAATCATAATCATAATCATCATAATAAATGTAAGATATTTAAAAAGTTTACTAGACTTTAGCATTTTGGGCAACAGTTCCTGCAGTGGGTTTTTTTCCCCCCTTTGGGTCAATCTCACCAAAAGACAGGCTCTCTGTCATGGTATTTCAGACAAAAATTACAAATCTAGGAACACATTATAAATTAAAATGTTTAAGTAGTTATATAAATTATTATAAATTATAAATCTAGGGCTAACATTGTGATATATATTTGTATACTTTAAATTTTGAACTATACTTTATTAATACAATTTGTACACCCATAATGCTATACCCATACAACCATTGATAAATTTGAATGTGAGTTAGCGTGGGGTTTTATTCAACCATAGAGAAGAATAAAATTATGTCATTGACAGGAAAATGGCTGAACTGGAGGCCATAAGTAAGACAGACTTAGAAAGATAAAAACTGCAGGCTTACTCTCATCTACCAGATCTCAATTTAAATACGTGTGTTTGTGGTGATTTGCATGAGAACTGTCTTCCATAGGCTCAGGTATTTGAACACTTGGACGCAGTGGGTGGCGCCGTGAGTGGAGGAAGTGTGGCCTTGCTAGAGAAAGAACATCACTGAGGGTGGGCCCTGAGAGTTCACAGTCTCACCCCACTTCCGATTCACTCTACTTTGAGCTTGTGGTTGAGGATGTGATTGTTCAGCTTCTTGCTCCTACCTCCTGTTGCCACGCTTCCTCTACCATTCTGGTCTCCCCTCTGGAAGAGCAAACACAAATAAACTTTTGTAAGTTACCTTAGCCATGGTGTCTATCTCACAACAAAAGGTCACACACACACACACACACACACACACACACACACACACACACACGCACCATGAAAGCAGGACTGTTCACAGGGAGAGAGGGACTAGCTAAAGGTGCCGTGAGGGGTGGGGGATGGTGGGGGAGCCAGGTATGAACAAGTTACCATGATATGTATGTACAAAAGTATAATGATAAAATCTATTATTTTGTATGTTAACTAAAATTTAACTAAAAACAATGGTATGCATCATTATTGCCTATCTATCGCATAAAGCAGCTTATAAAATATTCTATGGTGCTTCTAGTTTTTCAAGTTAATCTCCTTTTAAAAATGTAAATAGGTGTTCCTAAAATGTTTAAAAAGATTTTTTTTTCTAGAATTACTTTTTCAAGATTTCAGTCTTCAGGGATTTCAACATTATGATTTCATCACTTGGGGTTATGGCTTGGATGCATTTATGCTAGAATCTCGGGGGAATTTGTGGGAACAGTTCAAAATGGGAAGCAGTATTCCCAGAGTAATCAGAGAGTAACTTAAAACCAGCCTCTGCCTATGGGAAGTGCAATGGCTGTAGTTGTGCTAACGGACACCCTGATGTTGAGCTCCTGGGATCTTCCCCTCCCTACCCAGAAGGGTCCATGACTGGTTTTATCACTTTGAGGAACTGCAACTGTCCAAAGCCTCCCCTGGGGGCCAGACTGGGTTTTCTGCCTTTGCTGAGAACAGGCAGTCTGCAGGTCAGGTACACCCATGGGTACCCTCTCTCATAGCTGCATTCAGAAGAGTTGGGCTAGAACAAGGCTTGATCAGTGTGGTCATAAATCACAGGTTCTAATGTTAGGTACCAGGAAATTGGAAGGTGGCTTTCAATCTTGGCTTCACAATACAATCACCAGGAAGTTTTCAAATTATTATTATTGTTATGATGATGATGATGATGATGGTGATGATGATGATGCCTAGGACTGGAGAGGTGGCTCAGCAGTTAAGAGCACTGGCTCTCTCTTTCTCTGCTGCCAACTTGTGGATCATGTCATAAGCTTTCAGCCACTGCTCCAATGCCATTCCTGCCGGTCTGTTGCCATGCGGGTCATGGACTCTCACCTCTGAAACTGTAAGCAATAGAGCAGTATCAAAGAGACCGCATAACACTCATACCATTTTTGAACCCATGGACTTGTCTTGCCATGACAGTCATAATTTTCATATCTAGGTGAAACTGTTGGTGACCTTTCTCTCCCAGCAGCCTCTGGTACTATGAACACTGGTCAGCAAGGAGGGAGCTTCCTGGTCAGTGCCAACTTGATTTCTCCATGTGACCAAAGAATGTACTGTCCTCAGTGATAAGATCTTGCCGTCATACTCTGTTGGGCAACCAAGAACACTGGCAGCAGCTCCTCCTGTTTTGTGGGAATCCTGGACACCGCTGACCTTGATATCTTGTTATCCAAGGGCAGATAAACTACACCTGTCATTGCTTTGCGTTTGCTAACCTATGGCTTCTGAGAGGAGCATTTTTCCCTGTGAAGGGTAACTCCAAGTGTGCGCTTTTATATGAACATTTAAAACACACACACACACGCTTGCACACATGCACATGAGTGCACAGAGGAACTTTATAGAATGGCATTTTCAGATAGTGTTAGTTGTCCCTTCCTACAAGTCTCCCCTCTGTCCAACCTCCCATCCTTCTCCCCACTTATCCCTCCTTCTCTATTATTCCCTCTTGCCCCTGAAAGGAGTTTTAAGGGTGTGGGGGCCTGGAAGAAACCCTTCCTGAATGAAGCAGGAAATAACCCCACTGCTCACGTGTACAAATCAGCATAGCACAGATGGTTATGTAATGCAGCCTCAACTCCAGACCCCAGGAGGGACCACTGACCCAAGTTCCCTCAAGGCTCTTTGTGAACTGGTGAGACTAAGGGAATCCCTCCCAGGAGCACATAAATACACAAGGTTTTGGTTCATTTCTGATTGTACCGCCAAGTCGGTGACCAACAATTAATGCTTTAGAAGAAGATAAAACTCTCTGATAATGGACCTTCCCACTCATGTAATCCTAAGGAAATATGCCTTCTTGACCCCTGCAGGCAATTTACTCAGACCATAAAATGTGCAATCGACACATGCATAATTATGAATGTCATTAATGACCATTAAAACCATCCAACGCTTACAAAACCCAAGCCTTATTTCCGCCACAAGGACCCCTGCAACAGACTGGTTATTCATGACGGGAAGATGTATTTCCTCTCCTTTGTGAAAATTTACCAGCCATTAACCCCACTGAATGAAAAAGTTCTCATATTGTGGACAAGTTGAAGCTTTGCCCAGAGAAGGGAGTTCTATGCAGGGAGCTCCCTGCTTGGGGCTAAGGTGGCCTGCCATCTGGTCCTGGCTAACCTAGGAGAGCCATTTCCATTATTCCACCGAAAGCCATTGGTATGTAAGTACAAGTCAGCTCCCTGACTGTGTAAGACCCAGGACTAGCATGCTCTAGGGAGGCAGGATGAGGCAACATAGCAGCCCTTGCTTCCAATACAGTATCAGCTTGAACGCACTGATTAAAACGTAATAGGCAAAAACGGCTTGGTACATGGTGGAATGTCGTGTATTCTGACAAGATGTATTCTGTACCCAGTAGTTTGGGGGCTCCCTCAATGTTAAGCCTTCATCTGCTTCATCTTTCCCACTTAATAGGAAAGACAGATTATCCTGGTTCTCCTCATGCTAACAACCAGGGTCAACACCTAATTGAAACTGGTCCAATCAGTATGTCTTACGGACAGAATGACAAGAGATCAATTTCCTTCTGGACTCCCTGGCTTCGTATGCTCAGGAGAGGCCAATGATATGTAATTTTGCAAAAGTCAACATGTGAAAAGAGAGATAGAGAGGCAGAGAAATAAATAGATACAAATTGGTACCACTTGGCTTCCTCACACCTTATTTCAGTAGCTCCTCCTAGTTTAACCCTGAGGTCTGGCTACATTTCTGTCTTTAGTTTCCAGAAAAATATCCCCGATTCACACAACAAATTTCTTTCCATTTGGAAATCTAAGTGTTAGAGAGACAGCTCAGCGCTTTAGAGCACTTTCTGCTCTTCCAGAGTAACCAAAATTTTGTTCCCAGTACCCTTGTCAGGTATCTCACAACTGTCTGACTCTCCAGCTCCTGAGGATCTAATGCCCTCTTGTATCCTTTTACCCATGTGGCATATGTATAAACACACACATAGATAAAGATAAAATTAGGGGCTGCAGGTGGCTCATAATCACTTGTGACTCCTGCTCCAAAAGATGCAACACACCCTTCTGGCCTCCATGAGCAACTGCACACACATGGCATACACACAAACACAAATATACACATTTAAAAAGAAAAACACCGAAAAGCAAGGTAAAAATAAATATTAAAAAACTACATTGCACTAGTTTTGAATGGGTTCCTGTGATATCTAAATAAACACTTGAAATTATATAACCACTAGAAGTTTGCTTATAAATAATTTTTGGTATTAAGGGAAATTGCTTCTGAGATTGTGATAGGCCATTCAGAAAGCACGCCATAATAGTGTATAAATAGCATGAATTTAGAAATATCAAACAGTGGATGAGTTAAAACATGCAAACAATCGAGCATGGTGGTATGTTCCTTTAATATCAGCCTTTGAGAGGCAGAGGCAAGCAGATCTCTTGAGTTTGAGGCTAACCTGGACTACAGAGAAAGTTCCAGGATAGCCAGGGCTACAGTGAGAAACCCTGTCTTGAAAAACTGAAACAAAAAATCAAAACATTGTGTTTACTTGCAATTCATGGGGTTATGGATAAGTTTTCTTTTTCTTTGTCTTCTCTTTCTTTGTATTTACTTATATTAAGGAGTGTTTGTATTTTTGTCTTTGGTTAGACTAAGGACGGCCTGTAAGGCACTGTCAGTGTGAGGCAAGGGCTCTCCATGACCTCCAGCTCCAGCCCAAGAATATGTATTAAGATTTGTTTGTTTAGAGATCAAAATAGCTGATAACCTCTCTAAAACACATTTGCAACAGGAGAGCCCATTCAAATCTATGCCTGCCCTCTGGGAACTCTATGTCTGGAGGCCTTGAGAGCTGTCTCTTGATAGGAGAGATAGGAGCCTGTAAGGAGGCAGGTGACTCCGTGGTTAAGGCACATGCTGATCTTCCAGAGGACCCAAGTTCAGTTCTCAGCACCCATGCTGGGTGACTCACAACCACCTGTAACCTCAGTTCCAGGGAATCTGATGTCTCTGTCTTCCAGGGACACCTGCATAGGAGCACACATACCTGTATTCAGAGGTGCACATCTGCACAGTTAATTAAAAAATAGATTGTTAGAAGGGGTATCTGCACAGGAGTGTACATACCTGTTTACAGAGACACACGCCTACACAATTAACTAAAAAATACATTGTTAGAAGGGGCACCTGCTCAGAAGTGCACATACCTGTATTCAGAAACACACGTCTACACAATTAACTAAAAAAATAAATTGTTAGAAGAACTGCAAGCCGTTCCACTGTTTTCAGATAAAGTTAACTCTATATATAGCTGGGGATCCTTCCCTCAGACCTGCTTCAACCACTCTCCAGTGGCACTGGCCACAGAAAGAATGTGACTTTAAATGGGAAGGGCCTCCCTGGAAGGCAGACAGGCTAAGGCAGCCCTGTTTTCCCTTCAGACCCTCTTATATCTGGGTCCCTACCCAAAGGTGCTGCTCCATCTGGGGGATGGAGGGGGATGAGCAGTTCTCACTTGGTGACTGTATTAGTGACTCTTACTGTTGTTAGACACAAATATCTGGCAAAAGCAACTTAAGGGAGTAAGGGTTTATTCTGGCTCCAAGTTCAAGAGGTTGTAGTGAAGCATGATGAATAAAAACTCAGAGAGAGAAACTGGGGTTCAGCCTGAAGGTCTGAAAAGCAAAACAGTCAGCCATGGCTCTTACCTCTACCTCAGTCTGACATGGCGATCCTGCCTTCAGGAATCTCAGAATGAGACTGAGAATTGTCTCCTTCTATCTTAGATTCCTCTCCAGTGTGCACCACTACCGCCTGGTTTCTATGACAAGCTGGTGTGGGTACTGGGATTAAAGGTGTGTATCATTGCTGCTTGGTCTGCAAGGCTGGCCAGTGTGGCTGTTTTACTCTCCCGATCCCCAGGCAAGCTTTATTTATTAAAATACAAATGAAATGCCACTAGACTGTAGTCCATCGTGGGCGGCAGGGAAGGCAGGGCACTAGGAGGGTGAGGCAGCCACCACACTGTGTCTGCGGTCAGAAAGGGGGAGTGATGGATGCTGATGTTTTGCTTTTTCATCTTTCTTTGGTCTGAGACCCCAGCCATGGAGTGGGGTCGCTCACCTTTTAATTAGGTCTTCCCACTTCAACTCATCCAGTCTAGAAACTCCCGCACAGACTTGTCTCATGGGTGATTATAAATTCTGTCAAATCGACGATCAACTTATCGTCACATGGATCCTCTAAACGAGTGCCACAAGTTAGAAGCACCCCCTTTTGTCTTATAACTAACCACCATACAGTTTTGACAGCCTGAGATGAACCTAGGGGATAAGCAAGGGTGTGAGGGCAGCAATGCTCAGCAGAAGCTGGACCCAAGGACAGCAGCAGTCATATAAACAGCCTAATGGCCAGCAGGTACAATGTTAGCTTCTAACTAATGCCGTGGGTCCCATGAATCCACAGCAAAGGCAACCATGACCAGAGGGTGTGGCTGGACTGGGGGTGTAAGGGATAGAGTACAGAAAGTAGGATAAGAGTTGATGGACGACATATTGCTAACTAGACAGCTACATGGAAAACGGAAAGCTCACATTGCCCCAGAAACCTGCAGTAGATCGCTAATGTCTCCTCATTGGTTGGAGCATTGCCACATGTCCACCCCCACCCCAGAGAAAGCTGGAAAAGCAAGTGTCCAACTGTTCCGTTTTTTTAAGGTTTATTTTATTGATGTGTATGTGCATGTGTGCACAAGTGCCTGAGGAAGCCAGAGAGGGCTTTAGTCCCCTGAGCTGGAGTTAAAGGTGGTTGTGAGTTGTTCAGTGTGTGTGCTGGGCACTGAGTCCCAGGCCTCTGTAAGAGAAGCAAGCTCCCTTAACCACTGAGCAATCTCTGTAGCTCTGTTTAGTGTGTGTGCTGGGCACTGAACCCAAGGCCTCTGTAAGAGAAGCAAGCTCCCTTAACCACTGAGCCAGCTCTGTAGCTCTAACTGTGCATTCTCAATCCAGACCTAAGAAAGGAAGAGAGAATGCTAGGTATGATCACGATGAGGGCTACCTTTGGTTTGTCAGCCTGATTGAATCTGAGATCAATTAAGAGACAAGTCTCTGTGAAGGTGTTTTCTGGAAGGAGTAACTGAGGGAAACAGCCTCCCTCAGAATGGGCATCACCTAGATATGAAGAGGTCTGAGGGGAAAGCAGGCCCGCTCTTACCTGCCTGCAGTCAGACCCCGACGGTCAGAGCAAATACTCTGTCGCTGCTTCTGTCTCATCTGCTCCTTGCTGATGCTGGAAGTTTTGTAGCTAATACCAGTGACTCTCCAGGGATCAGAATGTTAGTGTTAAATCATCCAGTCTCGTGGACTAAGAAGCTACTGGGGCCAGGCAGTGATGGCGCTCACCTTTAACTCCAGCACTCAGGAGGCGGAGGCAGGCAGATCTCTATGAGTTCAAGACTATCCTGGTCTACAAAGTAAAGGACAGGTTCCAAAGTTACACAGAGAAACCTTGTCTCAAAAAAACAAACAAACAAGCAAAAGGAGATGCTTCTCCAAGGTTCAGATGGCCATTGTTGGTCTACCCAACTCATGTCCTGTAGACCAATCTAATTAATGCCCTATCATCCATCTGTCTGTCTGTTTGTCCGTCCATCCATCCATCTATCTATCTATCTATCTATCTATCTATCTATCTATCTATCTATCTATCTATCTATCTATGTCATCTACATATCTATCTGTAATATAAATATATTCCTTCTATTGGTTTGGTTCCCCCTAGAGAAGCCTGATTAATACAATTGCTTATTTGGTAAAGATGAATTTCAAAAAATCAGTACAAAATATTCCAGAGAAAGATTTAGTAAGATTCCATGTAAATCTGGGTAAGTAAATCCATGAGAGCTCGAGATAAAGGTGGGTATCAAATATTTATTGGTGAACACTCACGAACAATAAGGTAGAGAGCCACTGTGGTCTTCTGCTCTGCGGGCGCTGCAGGCTGGGATCAGACTTCCTGTCACCACCCAAGACAGTGAGCGAGCCCCTCCTCTCTCTCTTAAAAGCCAACATATCTGCAGACAGAAGACCACACCCTTAAGTCTGGTACCCTCAAAAGCAATTGATTAAATGAATTCCTACAACACGTCCCCTTTTGTCTAAATAAGAGGGCTCTAAACCTAATACAAGACTATATACAATAAGAACAAATATCAACTATCATCCAGGAAAATAAAGGAAAAAACACACACAAAAATAAAAATACAATCAATATGAACAAGATCAAGCAATAAACACATGCTAAATGTCCAGTCTATGGTAATTAGCAAATAACAGAGTTTATTTCAATAGTTGTCCAATCCTGAGGAGTCTAAGTCTTGTATTTAAAATGTCTTAGCTAAGTTATGAGAGGATAGCAGCTGTGACTATCTAGTCTTCAACCCCATTGACTTGAAAAGGAAAATCAAGTTACCTGAGCAAGCAGGAAGTGCAAGCAAGTGACTTCTAAAAAGTGCAAGAAATGACAGAAGCAGCTGGCTACCCGGCCAGTCACCCAAACCCCACAACAATTCCGTATTCAGGTTAGTGTCATGAGACATAAAAAGAAAATACCATATATATCTAGAGATATACAAAAATCATTCGTTTATGCTTTCGATGAAAATGTTTAACAGATACTGATATCATTCCTCCCGGTTTTGACAGCAACCGACACACCTGGACTGGTCAAGGCTGGATCCGTAATACCCTGTAGATTACTCAGTCTTCCACCCCATTCTTCTTCTTTCCGTAGTTTGGAAACAGCTTGGTTCTTTTTGAAGATTTGTATTCATTATAAATATTGCGATCACACAGAAAAGTTCAAAGAGTGAAGCAAGTCCACTTGTTAGGGTGAGCACGAGTCCAGATGCTTCTGGATGTGCACCTATTAACACAACACACAAAGGAACCCTGCTGCTCCATTATCTCTCTTATGTGCTTAGTCCCAAGTGTCCCCAGTGAGTGCCCACGTCATCAGACCGGCATCAGCATGTGGTGTACCATCATTTCTTTAGCCGATGATTTAATGCTATTGATGAGCTAACTTTCACTATGATACAAGAAAGTGGAAAGGGAAATCTTTTTTTCTTATGCGTTGGCAATTATTGCCTTGGGGAAATGATGAGAGATGAGGTTGCTGGGTCAAAGGTCTGTTCATTTAACATGATCATTTCTATCATCCCTGAGCACTTGAGAGAGGGACTAGATCAATTTATCCACCACCAGTAGAGCATGAAAGCCTGAACCCCAGCCCCTTGCCAGTCCAAGGCTTTGCCATTCTTCTGAAGAATTCTCTTCATCCATCCTCTTCCCACCGTGCCCTTCTTTGTAGATACTTTTTTGCATAGGTTCCATGCTGAGTTTTTATCTTTTTGCCGGCAATTGATGCTAGTTCTGTCTGGGTCTGCCATTTGCTTAAATTCCTATGAGGGAGATCCCGATCCCTTTTGTCATTCTGGCCACTATCTGAGCTTTCTTTTAGGACTTAAACTGAATGGCTAAAGTCTAAACATGATTGCCCTCTGCTAAATTTATCCACTTGCCAAAGAGATTTGGTTAAACTGGCCTTCATTTCCCTCCCAATTGTCACTACTCCTACCACGGGGACAGCCTCGTTGAATGAGGGGAGTTCATGTCTTACATCTTCTGAGTAGGCTGATCATTTTGAGGCCAAGCAGGGTAAGTGACATTCCCCAGTTCATCCAATGAATTTGCTCCTCTTTTTTTTTTTTTTTTTTACAAAGAACACCAACTAAAACAAACAGAGAAAACAAAACGAAACAAAAAAACCCACATCCTCTGTCCACCTAGATTACTGGTACCCAAGGTGGCTCCTCAGGAAGAGCCAGGCTTTGCACTGGCTGTTTCTGCACCTCAGAGTTGATGTAATTCTTTACTTAAACCCATGGCTTTATTTTTTGAAATATATTTTGATTCTTAATTGACATATATCAATGGGACATATTTCTGGGGTCCAGTGAGACATTTTAATACTCTGTGTAAAGATCAGATCAGGGCCATTGGCATACCAGCTCTTCGGACAGACATCATCTCTCTGTGTTTGGGACCATTCAGAATCCTAGTAGCCACCTTGAAATGTTCAACTCATTTTTGTCAGCTATTGTTACCCCACTAAGTCACAGAAGGTTGAAAGTTACTCTTCTTATCCACTCGTACCCTGTGCCTACTTATCAGTCGGGCTTTGATAACCATGATATATTCTCCACTTCTCTGAGGATAGTGTTTAAACCACATATAAGTAAGAACATGCATGTTCATGAGTTGGTATCATTCCATAGAACCCAGTTGTAGAACTCAGGTTTTTCAGTTGACATCTTGGTCCGTAGACTCTAGAGGTACAGCTATGCTTGGTTGGCACAACCCTACTTTGAGGAGTGGGGCATGCTGTCTCTATCTGTGCCACACAGACCTCTGCCCTGTGTCTGGACTACTCTTTCCACTCAGAAGGCTTCAGGCAGCTGAGGGGTTACCTCACTCAGAAAGTCAACTATCTCCAGGTAGAGACCAGGATTGTCACAAATGTCACCTATGAAAATGATGGATAAGCAAGAGGCAGTCCCTTGTCCACAGAGTATAAGAGACTGCAGGGTATCCCTGTGATTACCCAGTTTCGGGGCCAGGAAGATTGTGGATTGTTTTCTTAGTGCCGGGCATTGAACCGATGACCTAGTGCATACTAGAGAGATGCTTTACCACTGGGCTCTGTCCCCTGGCTCCTCAGTTTGTCTTTTAGGAATCCCACCTAACAGGTCTTAAAGAAAACACAGAGAGCTACAGGGTGCAGTGACACAGGCCTGTAATCCCAGTAGTTGGAAGGTCAATTGGTGGGGCTGAGATTGTAAATTTGAGACCAGTTTGGGCTTTGAGGCAAGACTCTGTTATAAAAAGGAGGAAGTAGAAAAGGAAGAGGAGACAGAGAGAGAGAGAGAGAGAGAGAGAGAGAGAGAGAGAGAGAGAGAACACAAGCACACAAACACCAAGGAACATCCCAGATTCTAGGTGCCATCTGATTGCACTGAATTCATCTGAATAATCCAGAATACTCAAGAGCATTTTTAGAAATGAAAAGTGTTTTAATACCTACAACTTTTCTTCTACAAAGTTCCTTTTTTATGTAACAGCACATGCACAAGTCCCAGGTATGAGACACGAGGCGTGAACATTTTCAGAGGCTATTCACCATGACTTTTTTTTTTTTTTGAGTCAGGATTTATTTAAAATAAAATCCCTTCAAGATCATTCTAAAGAAGAGCTCAGCATCTCCCTCCCCCACAGGCGTCTTCCTACCAGGGCCACTTGGCCTCGGCCTCCGTGATGCAAACCTTGCCAGATTCCCACCATGATGTACCACTGCTCAGGTAAGGATGAGTACCTGGCACAGCCTTCTCCCCCTGGAAGGCTGAGGACCTGGCTGGTACTTTCACCCAGCGCCATGAATTGCCCAGTCTGTCTGTTCACTGCTGTTTTCTGAACCTGGGCCAATATGTCTAGGAAGAGCCCAAGGACTTTGGGCTTGATCCAACAAACCCATAAGCACAAAGCTTGGCTTTCCCTCTATAGGGGACCATTAGAGACTGGAGCTAATGTTCCAGAAGAATTACCAATATCATAATGGTATTATAGCCAAGGCCCCAGGAAGGCTAAAATGCCACCCTGCCAATCATCTCCTACCCCTTGAGATCCCATATAAGGAGGAGTGAAAGGGTACAGATTTTTAAATGCCATTTGTTACTAGCCTGTCAATAGCAGACACTCACATGCAGAAGACAGTGAAAGGATGGATGACTGTATTGGACAGCTGGAGTCTAAACGAGGTCCTTCGCTCCCGCTCCTAAATCTAAATCCGAGGATAGCACATGCAGGTACTTATGCCAAAAGGGTCCTAAGCTAACTCATTCCCTAAGATTCCTGCTTAGGGGTAGGGAGACATGGCCAGTCCAGTGCTAAGGAGGAAGCTTGGCCTGGATTTGACCACTGTATCCAGGTAGGAAACAGAAGCACAGCAAGAAGAGACTTAGACCTTCCCAGAATCAAAGCAGGAAGCAGGAAAGAGAAAGTGCAATGGGCGGAGGCCTTTGAAGGGCAGCAACTCCCCAGCTTATCACCAGGCACTCAATGGGCCTCAGGAGCTGTACTTTGACCGGTCAGATTAGTAACCCTGGAGTCCTTGGAGCACAGCAGGGAGGGAGGAAGAGTTGGACCAAGGTTGTGCTGACACACAAGAGTGGACAGTAGCGTGCCTTTGTCTACTCCCAAACTCACCTAGTGGACGCCCCTTACTTCCTGGAGACTGAGGGTGGCAATGCTCCATGGCTCCCGTGAGTGTCAGCCTCGACAGCCGGGCAGTTAGTGCTAGATCTATGCTAACCCTACCGGTAGACATGGTCACTAAGCCAGAGACCGCAATGGCACAGTGGCCTGGGGACACGTATATGCCTGCCCTAGTCTGTGACACTGGTGATACCCTGATAGGGGTGAGCTCTTCCCCAAAGCACCAAGGACATCCCTAATGCCTGAGATTCAAAGGACCACATGGGCTTTCTGGACCAAGTTTCTGCTCAGAGAGCTTTTTGGCCTGGTTTTGGGGAACACAAATGCTTTCCCTGAGATCAGCGAATTATCAAGAGT